TTTTAGATCAGACGAGTACAATTTGAGCGGTAATATCAGAGTTAAATTTGATCAAAAATGTTTCAAACTTCTTTTGAAAAACTCATGATTTGCTATTTCAGGTCTCGTGCGGGAAATGCTATTAGACTTCCCGCTGACCACTATGAAAGTAATACATTTTATTCGACCCACTTTTTTAGACGTGAGTGTTCAGTCATGCTGGCAACACACTAACTTGTCAAAATGTTTATGTAATAAATGCTACAAGGGCTTAAAACACTTGGACAAGGCAAAGCAAAACAAAAAGATCGCATAGACAAAACGATAAGCGAATATGTAGCTATTATCCCGCGAATTCAACGAAATGTTATCCTACGGCTTTGATTTCTCCCCTATGCGTCACCACAGTGACTTTTCGAGGCGCATTTCGGCTTTGGGGATGGAAGCATAACATGGTCCATAGTGACGTGCTGGTTCACACTTCAGCCAATGCTCCTCTCGGTGACAGGCCTTTGCCGCCCACTGGGTCAATCACAGACGTTATTTTATTCGCACCAGTAGGGTTGCCATGGTTGTCATGACAACGGGGATCGCGACAATTGCAGGGAAGAAGTGTGATACTGTTGCGAAGTGTTAGAAACGTAAATTGGAGTCGAGAACAATTAAAATTGACGCATCCATCATGTCTCGACCTTGCTGCATTTGCACTAGCCAGTAAATGCACGTACACGTAACGTAAATGGTCCTGAGGTCTCACAAGACACTATTTTTGAAATACGTCCCAAAGGTGGTATACTCCCATTGATATCAAGGTGGGCAGGGCCCCAGAACTAGACGCATAACCGTCCAGTCGAATTCCGCTACTACTATTGATGGCGTTACAAGTGTACTCGGCCCATAATGGTGAACGCCGATGCATGCTTGCCGCATTTCGTTAGGTCTGTTAAAACAATTTCAGTTCCCAAGCCTTTTAAATATGTTTGTTTCGCGTATAGCAAGACCATGACTTCTTCAAACAGGCTTAATATCAGCTCTATAATATCCTCCATTTTCCGCAATTGTCTGGCGTATCAGCCTAGTGCCTTTGGTTGGAAGGCCCGTAAACCAAAGTATCACCAAGCTTTCTCGGGAACTAATTGCCTAAACTGAAATCTCCTAGTGACAAGAAAGGTCATGGTCAGGTCGGAGGACTGAAGATCCCTTTTACATTAGTGTTTACAGAGGTTGGGCCAACTGAAGCGCATTTCACCTCTTAAAAATCTTTTAAAAGGAATACGCTATCAGGATGAGTGAGAATGCCGTATCACCAACACGTTGATGCCATGATGGGTCAGGACAAGGTCATGCCATAGGGCAGCCTGGCAATTGGTTCATTCACGAGATCAATGCCTCAAATTATATTTTTACATCTATTTTGCCCGCGTAATGTATCTGAAATGTCAGCTACTTGGTTCTTAGACCGTGCGTAGTCAATATTTAGATGAGAGGTCAAGATAATGTCGTACTAGGTCAGCGTGACATAAAGTAAGTTAGCAATACCGAACATGTGTCCAGACTACTTATCCCATGGCAATCCAAAGCTATCACTTCTAATCTTATGTCGGTTCATCTTGGTGCCCGAGAAGATCAAAATCTGTTGTTTGCCTCAAACTACTTTTTTCGCTGAAATCCATTAAAAAACCATGGATAGCAGCAGGAAATTGACGACCTTGAACTCGCTGTGTAAATAGTCGCCGCTCCGGCCATTTCCTGTTTGAAATGTAAACTTGAAAATTGTCAATGGGCTAGAGGTTTCATGTTGCCCGCGATAGAGAGGAAAGCAAACGTTTTCATAACACTAAAATATGCCTTATTCACAGAGCACCTTTATCCACGCATAGCTAAAACGCAAGTAAGATTTCATCAATGCCTAGCGCGGCCATACAATGCCCTTGTTCTAAACACTACAAGCAATTGGACGCAAAAAATGATCACAGCAGCCCTAGTATAAACAGTAGTCATAGTTTACACCGTTAGTGGTTTGCGGCATGCTGACACAGCTGCCTGTCTCAACATCTCTGCATAGCAAGGCAGTGCTCTTGGGCCTTCTCCTCACTGTACGGACGGCAAGCTTCTCACTTTCCACGCCTACCCTTTAGACGCCTGTTTCCGAGCATTCCATCACAGTCTCTGACAGATCGCAGCAAACGAGATGAGTGTTAAAGTTCTCATCAACTTTCAGGGACGAAAATTTGGCTTTTATGGTACAATTTACATGGCTGGGGCCCATACAGCAATTTAATGAAACTGGACTTGAACACATTACGGCGCAACAGGAAAAAATCAATATTTGATTACTTACATGGAAATGAGATATCTTCCAGGATATAATATTACCACTCTGCATCTGTACACCTAAGAAAGATGATGTTTATATGAAAAATTAATGTGATATGGGACCCATTTCTTAGCAACCATGATTTGTTACCCGAATAGGATTGCCATCCAAACCTGCCCATAACTATTCCCAGCATTGCAAAACATGCAGCAGCATTGTAAGATTTGCTAACTGTCATTAATGACATTCCGAAATTTTACAAAACTGGTTTTCTTGCTTTTGTGCTTCATAGGACCAAAAGCAAAACAAGCCAAACAAGAGTTTGACAGTATTGCTGTACGAATAAGTTTATAGACGGTTATAGTGGGAACATCGCGTATAGGTAACGTCGTGATTAACTAAAAAAGGATTAGTGCCATCATAAGTAAATGCACAAATTTTTCGAACGCCAAATATGACAGACACAGCCAGAAAGAAAACAGCTTGCGGCTGCAACATTCGTTAGCCATGCCGCCCAGACAAGACAGCCATTGCAGGATTTTTTGAGAGAAGAAGTTTCTGAGACCTAAGAAGTTTCTGAGAAAATGGATGCTACAAATCCAAGCAGTGATGGCAGTGAAAGAACGTATTAGCTTTTTTGCAGCTAGCGACCTAATGCAACCTTACCCTAGAATCACGAGAAAGATATACTGCTGCTTTTACACTACTCACAGGTTTACACATCATTGCTGCACACAAAAACGGCATCGTGCTTAACACGCTTAACACAATGCAGTTTTAACACATAAAAATCACACACGTTCGACACCAGTATCCAACGGCACATCAGTCAGGTGAACTGAGAAAGGCCAAGCGACGCGCGCCGGAACGAATCAAGGTTGCGGAAATAATTTTGTCTCTTTCGCGCCACGGGAATAACACTTGAAAAATAAACCTATGCCAACAGAAAGGGAAGATAAGGGGCTGCAGGTAGGGATGTTGTACCTTTTACGTTGTACGTGACAATTAATTAGTTGAATAAAGTTCGACTAAAAAGGAGATATGCCGATCTTCGCTTTGGCTTCAAGGTAGTTGAGTACTTAAGTTGCAGTGTAGTTTGCATTCTTCTCACGTAAAATTACGGATCGCAGACGTTCGTACCCCACACCTGTTCGGAAGTAGCCAGTGACTCCTGCATCCACGCAGCATGAGAACTGTGAGAGACATTGAGAGAACTGTGAGAACTGTGAGGGACATCGCATGGGCATGGCAGGGCATGTCCCGGACGATGCGGAGCGAACCCTACGCTCCTTGACATGACACGTTGTGATGTGATCAGACAGGAGTGCAATGTCTGCACTTTCTACGACTGTGTGAACAAAGTATTTGACGGTTATCATATCATTGTCACGTTTCCAACATGAATGCCGTCGTGCGAACCATCCGCCCATCTAGTCTCCGATAAAGCTTCAACACTCGTTACCTTTAATCTGTAGTGAAAATGAAATGCTGATATAGTGTCAGTGCCAATGACAACATTCCGCAGGGATAGCGTGAGGTGATGAGCGATGCGCTGACAAAAACAACATACCATCGGAATCAGCACAAAAATGCCGCAACGTTCTACACGCCCACTTCAAAGCCGTTTGATATTGCGCCCGATCACTTCGAAGCGAAGCTTTAACCAATTCGATGACCCGTGCTAGACACACATTTTTGTCCAAAACATCACTCCACAGCCCGGCCCGACCCGGCCAGCTGGTGGTGCGGCCCGCAAAGGGCCCGCTATGCTCCGTTGCTGACCCGGCATTAACTTACGAGTACTGAGTTAGTGCAATGTGTATTTTGACATTTCTTTCCGATTTTAAACCCGTATGTAATGCGTGTATAAAATATTATGTCGGTGTCATATAACGCAACCCATTGTTTGGGTAGTACCAGTGATATTGCTTAGAGAACAGTGATCAGAGTACCTGGACAAAGAAAAGTCTTTTGCACCAAAGTAAACCTTGAACGCCGTGGCGCCAGTTTCAGCTACAAATGAGAACAACTATGGCGTAATTTAAATTTGTATGTCACCAAAATGCACTTGGGGTTCCACCCATCCACCGACGACACCCTGCAAACCTTGTAATTTCTGCAGCCTGTGGGGCGCTTAACTGGGTTCTCAGCCAAGAATAGATTGTACATACCAGTCCGGTTACGAAAACCTTCGTGCGCTCCTGCATTGGTCTTTTGCCTTGGGGTCAAAAGAAGATTCTATCTGCGCCCTAGTTTTGGAACAATTCGTCTGTGCTCCAGTTTTGGAACAAGGGGACAAGTACATTCCAACGAAGTTCTATACGAAACCCCTTGGTTCCTTTCACCCAGTGGGAGGCATAATTTCAGCCTAACATGCATGCAGCAAATTAGCTCGTCGTTCATGAGCTCGAGAGCAGATAAAGCACAGCGCAAGGGGTGGGTGCATTCCGCAAACGGTGCCAGTTATCCCAGCAGTTCTGGTTGCTCGCCTTCTTGGGACGGAGAGGGGTATGTGTCCTCACCTCACGTCACCTTCATGGGACGGGGGGCCTGGGGAGTATGTGGCCTCATCACAACTCACCTTTGGCCGGGGGGGGGGGGGGTATGTGGCCTCGCCTTGGATCGGCCGGTGTCTGCGATCAGGAGGGGGGCAGCGCACCCCAGACACTCTACAGCGCAGCTGTCGCCGACGAGCCGGACCCACCTGTGCTGGCCGTCGGCCGGCCTCGGCCGCTGAACACCGCCCGCGGGCGCACACCACGTGACCGGGCGGCGCGCCGCTGCCGTCGCCGCCGGTCGTCTACGCGGAGTGCCGGCGGGCTCGCAGTGGCCAGGGCCGGACAGATCCGGCAGCCGACCAATCGGCCGCGTCGGGGGCGGGGCCTGGCGGGTTGAGGCGGAGTCAGGCAGCGCGGCCGGACGTGCGCGCTCATGTCTGCGTTCGGCGGATCCTCATGGTAATCGCTGGGAAATGGCGAGAGCGGGCGTGCACGTTATCTGGTGTAGTCCTAAACCTAGCCACACAAAATTTTGCGGTTCATTTCTTTGCACGCAAACCTCCTGCTGCAATCTCTACGCACGAGTTCATGCACCGAAAATTGCCATCCTTATCTCCGTACCCACGTTCGAATATGCGTACCTACGTTTCTTGTTCACGAAATCCACGTATGCCTTTCTACATAGGCACAAAACTTCACTTGCGCAATTCTCAGTATCGCAGTCGTTGGTGCATGTTATTTCCCGTATCACTACTTCCTATCACGTTTTTCGGACACGAAAATCTCGAGCCACACTCATGTATACGCAATGTTCGTATCGTATGCCCTCATGTATACCATACTTTGAACTGCATTCTTTGCGTTAACAATTATTCGTGTGTCAATGCTACGCAAACACAATTCCTCCAACCACATTTCTTCGCATAGGATTTCCTCGCATCGTACTTTGCACGCATACACAACTCCTTTCATGTCAAATATTCTGCAGTATGACAGGAACCTGTTTCATTCACTGGTCGGATCATGCATTGGGAAGGAAAGTAAAAATGTGGATCGGATGGTATCCTGACCACCGGACCTGTCATCGGATGGTGTCCTGACCACCGGACCTGTCATCGGATGGTGTCCTGTCCTGGATGGTGTCCTGGTCACCGTGTCGATCCAGGTGGCTGGAAGCTAGATCTGCCCACAGCCGCCGTCCACTTACACTGCCTTTCGCAGGCAAACCTGCATGCCATACTCCCAAATAACGGGCGACTTTCGTTTGAACCTCACCACGAAAGTTATCATCAGATTGTCAACACATAGGTAAGCTAAAATGATATGAGCGCTAAAACCATTTCACACAAGTTGTGGTGCGTGACAGGTCGGTAACAGCATAACTCGGACATAGTTATAGACTGAAGCTTACGCCGGTTGGAGTTGTAGACGTCACATTAAATGCAATAGCTTACACAGCATGTTCCACATTTTGAGATATTGTTGCAAGCATCAGATATGATGAGGCAGGCTCAGCTTATGACTATTGGTATACTTCTAAGTAGAAAAGACTGCTTTAGACAATACAATTTACCTGTCTAGTAAATACGCTCTTCGATGCGTCATTGTTTGATTACATTATCGTACCTAACACAACATTGATTGAGAGCCAACTGACGGCCGTATACCTGGAAATTGTGCTCACGAAAGCCAGATGTGAACGAATCGACTATTATTACACTTATTTGCCTTGATCGCCGTATGAATTGTGGTGTGGGAGGACTTGAATGACGTTATTATGACATCACTAATGACAAGGTGTCATTGAAACATTTTCCTCCAAAAAGGTTTTCCCATCCTCACGGACCGAATGATTGTGATTTGTGATTGTGATTGTGAGACGAACTGATTGCATGATCTTCAAGATGGCTATTTCAGCTCAAAACCCACATAGACATGAGGAACACCCCTTTAACATAACCCGCACCAATACAAAATGTATCACCTGTGTGTGTCAAACTCATAATCGCTGAAAATGGTTCAGTTGCATGCATATCTATGCAAAGTGAGCTTACTTCGCCGCTGTTTAGCCCATCTGACCACATCTAGATGAACACATCGAAGTGTGTACGATGCACGTTTATCAGATTACTGCTCTCCTGCCAGAGGGCCTCCACTCTCTGCAGAATCCGCTGCTCCTGGTCCTTGTCACCGGCTTCAATGCCTGCTGAGATCGCCATCATTGACCCACCCTTCTCTGCAACAGCATTGGTAACTTCTTCACACAGCTCAAAATAACTATAAAACGGGCCGCCGTCGTCGGCTTTCCATCCATCGATTCGTTGCCTTAGCCATCGGCTAGCCTCGATCTGAAGAAGCTGGAATACCAGCCAAGAGGACTCATCTGCTGCACCCGACAAGTATGTGTCCCAGTTGACGGACGGAACAGCATCCTCAAGATCATTAGGCACCGAAACAGGCAGCAGCGGCCAAGACATGGCTGCCTTTTCATTGTCGCTGACGATAATGAATAGGATGGAAAAATGATTATCCTTTTCATTATCACCCGAAACCAGATGGAGCAAGATCGCGTCGGGTCCCAATTAGGTTAAGTGCGGCCAGCACTGCCAAGCCAACACTGCTCCGACCACACGGACTTGTTTACCGTCCAGCAATGCAGCAGGTTCTGGTACAACGTCAGATCTTCCCTAGGGGCGTCAGTGGACGTTGTGCTCCCGTAAGTTTCTACACCGGTATCTATTGATGCCCCTAGGAATGACCTGAAGCCATACCAGGGCCTGCTGCATTACTGGACGGTTGATAAACCCATGGTCGGAGCAGAGTTGGATGTGATGCATCCCCACTTGGCGGGCTCGAGACGATTATGCTTTTCTGGTTTCAGGTGACGTTAGTGATAATAAAAACAAAGCCTCCATGACTTTAACCAGACACATGCCAACGCCTAGCGAGAACATCCCTGTATCGGATTCCTAAGATCTGGATCCGGAATGTTCTGCGGTCTGTTTTTTTATTTTGTCGAAGAAATATTTGGGGATCCGGGATCTTTTTTGGGATTCTTGAAGAGCCCTGTGGAATTCCGAATCTTTCTCGATATTGTTGTCGAATAATCGCTCGGGATCTTTGATTTTTAGATTAAAGCTTTTGTCGCGTGATCCTCTGAAATCCTGGATTTGTTTGATGTTACCAAAAGATCCTATGGCGTATTGTTCTTTTAGGTCTTCGGGTACTTAAAGCTTACTTTCAAGTTTGCCAACAATCTCTCAGTCTTCTAAGACAGGATCCATTTGTACAGTTGTGCAAAATTTTTTAGATAGGTATGAGAGCCCAGACCAATGATAAGTAGGGCTGTTTTAATGTCATAATTTGAACCGCACATTATATCACAGTTATAACTATGACGAATGTCATGACTTTCCCTTATATAAATTTCCCTCATGGAAATATTTAACTTACTGGCATCCCGTCCTGTTACTGATAATCGAGTCATATCTCATAAATGCATATATGTGCAAGACAGTGCTCCGTGAAGTGATTAATACAGTAACATTTGCACTTTGCCAGCGATCCATTAATCGTTACTAAATGCATGTGCTGCCTGAGCTGCCTTTCCATCTTGTTTCTTTTGTCGTACCTTACTTAATTAGGAAAGTTATATTTGCAATGAAAAAGTGAGCCTTATCATTATATGACCAGTCATACTATAAGCGTTTTGGCATTATGAGCAAAACTTTTCTGTCCAAGTTCAAAACTAGCTGCATGCCACGTGTGCTGCAACTTTTTTGTCACTGCCAAACAATTGATGCTCTGCATGGGACTAAATCATAACAACATTCAACCACATTTTCACCTAAACATATTTTTTCCTACCCGCATATTATCAACATCAGCAGCAAGTCCAACATGCTGGTACATCCCAATAATGTGTTTGCCACGCGCCCATAAGCAGACAGGTTTATTTGATCTGGTTGAGCGCAGGGGGAGGGGGGGTCGGAGCCTAGTCGGGACTAGGCCTGGCATTCCCATGTTGACGTCACCTTGGGAATGCCCCGGGGCATTTACGTGTTGCAGGGCATCGCAATGCGTGTTTTTTAATAATCGTTTTTGAATACTTCTACGCCGTTCTCCCCCATAAAATAAGTCTCAATACATTTGCCAGTATATCTCCTAGCTTACCCGGGGTTAAAACAGCTGTGACTGGTCAAATATTCCAACACCACCCCGTATCCCCATACCATGTTTTACATGTAATAAGGGCGACTTTTACTAACGCAAGACATTATTATCACCCTTACTGGCACAGAACGTTTCTAACTGCGATCTAGATGCGGGTTACTTCAAACCGGTGATGCGTATTAACGAGCGGTCAGCTCAATGGAAGGGAAATATGTGAGTGTGCAACCAACTGAGAAGCCGGCAACGGTTACATTCAATGTTAATACTCGCCCCGGTGGCCGGTTGGACACCCTTCGCTCGGGGGTGAATATGACCCCCTGAGATCTCAGGAACTAAGAGAGCTGGATGCATTAAATTCACAGGGTGCATTGACCTGTACGTGGTCTCATTTAAATCAAAGTTTGAGGTTCTTCATCAACGATCCGCCACTCAATTGTCTACAGCTATGCAAAATTTGGCGCGGCAACGCCGCGTCGTTCGGAAACCATTTCGGAAAAACGTTTAGGGGGTCAATTTGACTCCCCACCCGAACGCGTGTTAAGAGGCACTGGGGGTGTTGCTGATCAGAAGGACCGGAAAGGCAGATACAATCTGATCTCGCACGATGTCGGCGATAGTAATGCGTGGATCATTACTGGGCACATGCGTGAGCTCTGGACTGAAGCGTTCCCTCAAAAGGTAAGAGTGTTTGTGCCATTTGTTGGCCTGATCCTTCTGTGCATCGTCGTAGTCATACCTAACCTTATGTTGTTTGCAATTTTGGGCCGGTGCGGTTACGGCCCCAAATGCGTAGTATTTAGGTTACACCCGTGCAGACTTAAATGCAGGTAAGAAACGACAGTCGGGCTTCTGTAAGTCATTCTAGGGGGAAATTGTGCTGCAGACTTACATTACGAGCAGGGATAACATGGATTCTCCAATAAAGTTTTGATGATTTATGTCCGGCCAATGTCCATGCATAAAATTTTCAGAGAGGCTGAAGACCAGCCCTAAGCTGTAAATTTCTCAACCCCCCCCCCCCTTCCCATGCCCCTGACCTTCAAAAGCCAAGAAATAATGAAAATTG